CAATAATGGCAACAACAGATTACATATTGACCATTTCCAGAAGTTTATGTTCAGTTATACTCTATTTAGTTCTAACATTTCATTGCATTGAGCTCATTTCCGTGCACATGCCTCGTAAGGCTAAAAGATAATAAGCAATAGCAATACAAAGCAGAGTGTCAATTAAGAAATCATGTAGCTTAATAGAATCAGTGGAATTGTATCTTATCATCTTATTAGAATATAATATGCAAATAATAGGTACCTACTTTTGTGTAGTGACAATCTCACGTCAAATGTAAATGTCCATGGCGATAGCAGGGTGTGCCAACAAATTTACCATGTAAATTTACGGATTGAACATGAGTCAACTGCGACCGGTCAACTTCGACTAATGTCACATTAGCATTCCACATTAATATATTCCACGCGATTAACATAATTACAGATTTCTTGATGTTACACATCAGCAAGTTTCTTTCTTTCTACTTCTTTAATTTTTAAAATAACTTTAATCTTATTCTTAAGGAAGCTTATTTTTAATGTTAATTTCTGCCTGAAATATGTAGGATTGGAAATCAAGAATAGAGCTACAAACACTTTATATTGCTTGTTTAGAGAAGTAAAGAAAGAGCGACTTACTTACTTTTGCTCGAAACGAGACAGACTTAGCTTAAATTTCTTTTCTCTTTTCCTTTTTTAGCAAAGTTTTTTAAATAATTTTTCAAAGATAAAAATGTTATTTATAAAAGTTAATCTTAAAACTTTGAATTTTTAATTCTCTCTCTCTTTCTTTCTCTCTCTCTCTCGGTTTTTAATAATAAAAAATATAATAAAATAGAACTCCATTTATAACGAACATGTCAGACAAGACAGTTCTGATCGTATGGTTCGGATAATAGAGATTCACTAACTCTTTGTTTTCTATTAATACTGAATATAAACTTGTTCTTATAAATGGAGATATAAACGAACTTATACTATAAAAATATTAAGAATGAAAAGAAACTGCTCTCTATATGGTTTTTAAAGTGGATCTCTCATTTTAAAGAGAAAATTGAATCAATCTTAAAAAAGAGTAATTCAAATTTCAATCTTGAAAAGTAAGATTTCACTCTTTAAAATTTAAACAGTTCACTCTCAAAATTTTTTAGAGCGTATACAAATATTTCATATCGAACGTCCATTCAAAAAGAGAATAGCCATTATCTGATGCGAGATAGATATAGCTATATATAAATATAGCTATCTATAAATTTTATTTTCTTCTGATAAAATTCTTTTTTATTTTTGAGATAATAACTTTATTTAAAAAACAATATATAGATAAACTTAAAACAAATAATAATGTAAGGAAATATATTAAAAATTTAAACATTATTTTTTTATTTCTATAGATGGCTATCAACATTTTTATATTGAAGAGGACTCAATATTAGGATCGAAACGTATTTAAATATATGTATTATTACACACGAATATCTTGTGTTGGCTCACATTTCCTTACATTATCATTGTTCTTATTTAAAAAATTGATTCTTAAAAAATTTCTCTAATTTTAATACTTGAGATATTGGAAACCAAGAAGAGCTGTAAATACTTCATCCAAATATTCATTTATCTGAAGAACTGAAGAAAAGAATGGCTATTGTTTTCGCTCGGAACAAAATGGACGTAATTGTAGTTCCTAAAGCGATACCAGTTCTAACATCTAAGCTGCACGTACATAGCGAGCATCGCGATATATTTACGCAAACGGGGAGACCAAGGAGGAACGGTGGCAACGGTCCAGCAGACACGGCGTTACAGAAATAGATTTCGGCGGCGATGCAACGACTGCCCACGAACGAGCAGCGTCGTTCAAGCCGACACCAGAGACAAGGCCCAGTATCGTGTGGACCAGTTCCCGAGAAAAACCGGAAAAGTCAACCCCGGCGAGGTGTCCCACATGAACGTGAGTGTCGATATTCGTTCCATTGAGTGCAACCTCCGGTGCATCTTCCGCCTCTTGGACTTTCGTAACGATATTCAGTACAATGGCTGACGCCATTTGTCCTTCTCTTATTTAAAAAAAGGAAAAATAATTGAGGACATAACATAATTTCACACATTTTGGATGATAAAAAATGTAAAATCGCATCAAGAATGATTTTTTCAATAATAATAATGAATGTTCTGAATAAAACCGTTAATAGAATAGCATTGTTGGCTAATTATTGACCATTGTTGGTCGAAGATTTCAGTGTTTTATCGACGTGATCCACAAAATCAATCTATAACGTTACGACTGTCGTGGATACGGATTGTCTAAATCGGAGCATGGTGCATCGACTTGGAGTGCACACAGCGCGTGCATTTAACTTCGTTTCTTAGAGCACAATGTCGATAGTAGTATCAATTTAATAGTGCTCATTTTCTAATTTAAGAGATGAGTCAAATTACTTTACATCTCTTGAGAATTTAATAGAAAACATCTTTGACGCAATCATGTCGTAAAAGGCAGTATATTAATATTATTCTTGTTTGTTTTTAAAAAGTATAAATAATTTTATTCTTAAAGACACATAAACAAAAATATAATTAGAAATTTGGTTGTTAAGCGCGATTTTTAATTATGATATAATAAATATTCAATAGATTTACGTAAATGTTTTATGGGAACAAAGAAGAGACTCTTAAATTTGAGATTCTTCAAATTTCAATTGCTAAATGTCTCGATTTAATTAGAGAAAACGAAAATTCGCATCTCGAGATAATTATTTATTGTACGGTCTAAAATCCACATCATTGCTTCGCTTTGCTAGTCTCATAGCATCGTATTCGCGTAGGCACCTATCCATCCTATGCGGGTACCAGCGACTATTGGAATAACGAAAGATAAAGCAGGCTCCCTTTCTCACACTAGTGCTATGCGGAAAGTTAGACTTGCGAATTAGCGCGTGCGTGTTATCTGTAACTTGTAACTTTATACTCCCACTGTGACAGTTACTTCCGGTTCGAGATCCCTTTCCGGATTGCGTCTCTCGCTAACCATTGTCTAATTATTCTGTAATTATACAATATCGCGCATCGTTGCTGGAAGTGCAACGAAAGCATAATCGGATCTTAAAATTGCATCTGATGGTCTAGCAACTAAGCCATCTAAACTCCAAACATGAATAAAATGCGCGACATGTCTACGCGTGAAAGAAGTTCGCGAACAGAAATTCTCCCGGATAAACTAGAAGTTGGATGATTTCCAGCTTGCACAGTCGTATGCAATCTCTACGAGAAATAGTTTTACGCTCGATTTACATTTCGGGTTCTTTCTTTTAGCCTGTCACGTTTTGAGATGAAACTTAGATAAGAGTAAAAAAAAAAGATTTAACAATAAATAAATTGAATAAATAATACATGCTGCGTATAATTTAATTTCATTAAATAAATTGTCATTAAATAAATTCTCTTTCGATACTCTGATGTTACCATAATGAGAAAATTATAAATTATAATTTCTGTATATATTTTCATGGTTTTATTGCGGATTTTCTTGTATAAAATAGAAACAAAAATAGAAAAAAGTTCTTGCTACAAGAAGAACAGAAAAGTGAACGTTCTAAAGATACGATCAAATC